CTCAAAGATAGTTAATCGTCCTATATAATTTCTCTTTAAATCCCTGCCTTGTTAATGATAATGTAAAAAATGCAAAGCTGAGTTTATTATGAATAATTTAAGCAAATATTTCTTTCCCTGGCCTTAGTTAATGAGCATTCTTATTTGAAGTTAAGGACATGTACAAATGTATGATAACAACAGTTACTAAAATTTTATAATTCCTAAGTGATCAAATTACATTACAGATCACTGATGAATCCAAATTTTCATCATTCCACATAAAAATATTCTATACCTCTGACTGGCTTTAGTGTATGTGCCTCTTGATAGCAGATAAAAAATAGCATCACATTAATAATTAAGTTAACAAATTTCCTACTGCACATTTACAATACATAATCCTAGCTTACTGTTTTTAGACATAAGTCCAATTTTCCGTATTCATATTTTTCATCTTATAAACTCTATCTCTTATTTAATTTTCTTAGTTTAGGCTAAATGGTAAATATTGATCTACTTTATTTTGATTTTCTACACAATATGATAAAGTTGCTCGTTTATCTTTGAATTACAATTTCATATAAGAATTTAGAATAAGGTTCTATCCAGATAAGAATTGCTTTGATGAATCCTATTTTTCATCTCCCCGCTGTTCATTTATCAAACATGACGAATCCTACGGCTAAATATGAATGGTGAACTTAAGGATGTCAAAAAGGAAAATCAATCTACATTGGAATAAATGGTGTACAAAGCAATTAAGGATTTTGTTATAGCTTAATGATACCTATTCTCTTCAGTTATAAAGTGCCTTTTCCTTAAGCGCCTAAAGCTTGCATATAAACGTAATTAATATAATAAATATGATTTTTTTCCTCTTTTATACATAGGCTATACATATTAGTAATATACATACATTAACTAGCAGAAGATCAAGCATTGATTGGCACCATTACAAAACCAAAGTAACCTGATAATGAAATCACAAATTTCCTGCCAAAATTGCATAAGAACTTTTAGTTATGTGCTCTCATTGAAGGAACTGAAATTTGCATGATAGTTTAAATATTTTATATTAATTTTCTGCATATGCATTCATGCCTGCCCCAGAAAAATATTAGAAGGGCTGAGCCATTGTGTGGAAATCACCTACATTCACCCGTAATATTTTTATAAAGTATATTTCGCAAATAATCGCGGCATAATATCAACACCAACAAGTAAATGCTTTTTTTTTTTGTAATTATATGCTGAACTTAATATTACATTAATGCTGACCTGGTGAAGTAGGAAATTATCTAAACGATCTTGGCATGCTGACAAATGGCAAAATAGTCATCCATATGTCTGATCAAAAGGTTTACGTTCAGAAATATCTCCTTAGGTATGGTTCCCGCAAATATCTACATAAATCTATTGT